TTGCAGCATTGTTAGTAGTGATAGTGTTGTACTTGTGATGGTGTTGTACTAGTGATGGTGTTGTACTAGTGATGGTGTTGTACTAGTGATGGTGTTGTACTAGTGATGGTGTTGTACTAGTGATGGTGTCGTACTAGTGATGGTGTCGTACTAGTGATGGTGTCGTACTAGTGATGGTGTCGTACTAGTGATGGTGTCGTACTTGTGATGGTGTCGTACTTGGTGATGGTGTCGTACTTGTGATGGTGTCGTACTTGTGATGGTGTCGTACTTGGATGGTGTCGTACTTGGATGGTGTCGTACTTGTGATGGTGTCGTACTTGTGATGGTGTCGTACTTGTGATGGTGTCGTACTTGTGATGGTGTCGTACTTGTGATGGTGTCACTTGTGATGGTGTCGTACTTGTGATGGTGTCGTACTTGGATGGTGTCGTACTTGTGATGGTGTCGTACTTGTGATGGTGTCGTACTTGTGATGGTGTCGTACTTGTGATGGTGTCGTACTTGTGATGGTGTCGTACTTGTGATGGTGTCGTACTTGGTGATGGTGTCGTACTTGTGATGGTGTCGTACTTGTGATGGTGCGTACTTGTGATGGTGTCGTACTTGTGATGGTGTCGTACTTGTGATGGTGTCGTACTTGTGATGGTGTCGTACTTGTGATGGTGTCGTACTTGTGATGGTGTCGTACTTGTGATGGTGTCGTACTTGTGATGGTGTCGCACTGTGATGGTGTCGTACTTGTGATGGTGTCGTACTTGTGATGGTGTCGTACTCTGTGATGGTGTCGTACTTGTGATGGTGTCGTACTTGTGATGGTGTCGTACTTGGTGATGGTGTCGTAGCTGTGATGGTGTCGTAGCTGTGATGGTGTCGTAGCTGTGATGGTGTCGTAGCTGTGATGGTGTCGTAGCTGTGATGGTGTCGTAGCGGGATGGTGTCGTAGCTGTGATGGTGTCGTAGCTGTGATGGTGTCAGTAGCTGTGATGGTGTCGTAGCTGTGATGGTGTCGTAGCTGTGATGGTGTCAGCTGTGATGGTGTCGTAGCTGTGATGGTGTCGTAGCTGTGATGGTGTCGTAGCTGTATGGTGTCGTAGCTGTGTGATGGTGTCGTAGCTGTGATGGTGTCGTAGCTGTGATGGTGTCGTAGCTGTGATGGTGTCGTAGCTGTGATGGTGTCGTAGCTGTGATGGTGTCGTGAGCTGATGGTGTCGTAGCTGTGATGGTGTCGTAGCTGTGATGGTGTCGTAGCTGTGATGGTGTCGTAGCTGTGATGGTGTCGAAGCTGTGATGGTGTCGTAGCTGTGATGGTGTCGTAGCTGTGATGGTGTCGTAGCTGTGATGGTGTCGTAGCTGTGATGGTGTCGTAGCTGTGATGGTGTCGTAGCTGTGATGGTGTCGTAGCTGTGATGGTGTCGTAGCTGTGATGGTGTCGTGAGCTGTGATGGTGTCGTAGCTGTGATGGTGTCGTAGCTGTGATGGTGTCGTAGCTGTGATGGTGTCGTAGCTGTGATGGTGTCGTAGCTGTGATGGTGTCGTAGCTGTGATGGTGTCGTAGCTGTGATGGTGTCGTAGCTGTGATGGTGTCGTAGCTGTGATGGTGTCGTAGCTGTGATGGTGTCGTAGCTGTGATGGTGTCGTAGCTGTGATGGTGTCGTAGCTGTGATGGTGTCGTAGCTGTGATGGTGTCGTAGCGCTGTGATGGTGTCGTAGCTGTGATGGTGTCGTAGCTGTGATGGTGTCGTAGCTGTGATGGTGTCGTAGCTGTGATGGTGTCGTGAGCTGTGATGGTGTCGTAGCTGTGATGGTGTCGTAGCTGTGATGGTGTCGTAGCTGTGATGGTGTCGTAGCTGTGATGGTGTCGTAGCTGTGATGGTGTCGTGGCCGGGATGGTGTCGTAGCTGTGATGGTGTCGTAGCTGTGATGGTGTCGTAGCTGTGATGGTGTCGTAGCTGTGATGGTGTCGTGAGCTGTGATGGTGTCGTAGCTGTGATGGTGTCGTAGCTGTGATGGTGTCGTAGCTGTGATGGTGTCGTAGCTGTGATGGTGTCGTAGCTGTGATGGTGTCGTAGCTGTGATGGTGTCGTAGCTGTGATGGTGTCGTAGCTGGATGGTGTCGTAGCTGTGATGGTGTCGTAGCTGTGATGGTGTCGTGTTGATGGTGTCGTAGCTGTGATGGTGTCGTAGCTGTGATGGTGTCGTAGCTGTGATGGTGTCGTAGCTGTGATGGTGTCGTAGCTGTGATGGTGTCGTAGCTGTGATGGTGTTGTAGCTGGATGGTGTTGTAGCTGTGATGGTGTTGTAGCGCTGTGATGGTGTTGTAGTTGTGATGGTGTTGTAGTTGTGATGGTGTTGTGAAGCAGGATGGTGTTGTAGTTGTGATGGTGTTGTAGTTGCGGGATGGTGTTGTAGCTGTGATGGTGTTGAAGCCAGATGGTGTTGTAGTTGGTGATGGTGTTGTAGTTGTGATGGTGTTGTAGTTGTGATGGTGGTGTTGTAGTTGTGATGGTGTTGTAGTTGCGATGGTGTTGAAGCTAGTGATGGTGCCGTAGTTGTGATGGTGTTGTAGTTGTGATGGTGTTGTAGTTGTGATGGTGTTGTAGTTGTGATGGTGTTGTAGTTGTGATGGTGTTGTAGCTGTGATGGTGTTGTAGTTGTGATGGTGTTGTAGTTGTGATGGTGTTGTAGTTGTGATGGCAAGTTGTAGTTGTGATGGTGTTGGTAGTTGTGGATGGTGTTGTAGCTGTGATGGTAAGTTGTAGTTAAAGAGTGGTGTTGTGAAGCAGATGGTGTTGTGAAGCAGGATGGTGTTGTAGTTGTGATGGTGTTGTAGCTCGGATGGTGTTGTAGGTTGCGGGATGGTGTTGTAGTTGTGATGGTGTTGTAGTTGTGATGGTGTTGTCGTTGTGATGGTGTTGTCGCTGTGATGGTGTGTTGTCGTTGGTGATGGTGTTGTCGTTGTGATGGTGTTGTCGTTGTGATGGTGTTGTCGCTTGTGATGGTGTTGTCGTGCTGTGATGGTGTTGTCGTTGTGATGGTGTTGTCGTTGTGATGGTGTTGTCGCTGTGATGGTAAGCAGAAGTTGTGATGGTGTTGTAGCTGTGATGGTGTTGTAGCTGTGATGGTGTTGTAGTTGTGATGGTGTTGTAGCTGTGATGGTGTTGTAGTTGTGATGGTGTTGTAGTTGTGATGGTGTTGTAGTTGTGATGGTGTTGTATTTGTGATGGTGTTGTATCGGTGGATGGTGTTGTATTTGTGATGGTGTTGTATTTGTGATGGTATGAGAAGCTGTGAAGGTTTTATAGTTGTGAAGGTTTTATAGTTGTGATGGTGTTATTGCTGTGATGGTGTTATTGCTGTGATGGTGGTGCAGTTGAGATGGTGTTGCAGTTGTGATGGTGTTAGTAGTGATGGTGTTATAGTTGTGATGCGTTATAGTTGCGGGGATGGTAAGAGAAGTTGTGATAAGTGTTGTAGTTGTGATGGTGTTGCAGTTGTGATGGTGTTGGGGAAGCTGTGATGGTGTTGTAGTGTGATGGTAAGTTGTAGTGTGATGGTAAGAGTAGTGTGATGGTGTTATAGTGTGATGGTAAGTATAGTGTGATGGTGTTATAATTGTGATGGTGTTATAGTTGAGGTTATATTTGTGATGGTGTTATAGTTGTAGTATTGTTAGTTCCTAGTGGTGGTATAGTTGTGATGGTGTTATAGTGTGATTGTGTTATAGTGTGATGGTAAGTTATAGCAGATATGTTATAGTGTGATGGTGTTATAAATTGTGATGGTGTTATAGTTGAGGGCTATATTTGTGATGGTGCTTAAATTGTAGCATTGTTAGTTCTAAATGGTGTATAGTTGTGATGGTTATAGTTACAGCTTACTTTCTTTGATCTCTAACCTTTCTAGGCTGTCCATTCCAACAAGGTAGGTAAGCAGGTAGTCCATTCCTAACGAGGTATGCCAAACGTCCTACCTTAGTAAATCTATTCCTTGCCACGACCATCTATATAAATAACTGAAAGAGCGTCTCAATATAAATAAAAAAAGAGTTGCCGGTGGTACATGGCAACTACTTCATGGGAGATCATGAAAAGCAGGCTACTACCAGGTGTGGCAACATTCAAGGTGTCAAGACATGACATTGTCCTATCTATATTCAAGAAATGCTGCATGAGCGCAACACGTATGTACAGTCATTTAAAAATGCTCTGAAAAACATGCCTTCTGACGAGCATACAAACTCAGGATCAAAGCAGACGATCCCTAAGGAGAAATATGAAAGAAGATTCAATGTCTCTGTAGTTGATGAAGTAGCCATCCTGATTGTCGGTCAAGAGTTTGAGAAACGAGACATCATATCAAAATGAGAGATGAGTCGCCTACAAGAATATCAGACACACATCGATCCTATGATGCACTGCAGTATTCTCTCATCTTCTGAAAGGTGAAGACGGATATCACTTCAACATTCCTCACACAGATCTAGCGACTGGTGCGGCAAAAGTAGGTAAGAAACTTCATCCAATGACTTTACCTTTACAGATTCATGATCAGAGAAGACAGTTTCATCCAGATACTAAGATCATGAAACCTCTTCCACCAGTTTGTAGTGGACATGTATGCCAAAATTCTAAAACCGAAGACTCCACCTTCATATGACTCAACCAAAAGAAGCTCAGGGTTGATGACTACATTCATCTGAGAGATGGTATAAGGATGGACATGTGGGCAATGTTGGACAGCTGGTGATTCTCCCCTTCCTTCACTGGAGGTCCAAGTGATACATGCATGAAAAGACTCTGGGATGCCATGTCCTATGTCAGAAACTATGGACGACCAGATCTCTTTCATTAATTTTACATGCAACCCTGTATGGACTGGATATAAACAGAAGCTCTAGGAAGGCCAGAAAGGACAAGATCGGCATGACATTACAGCGAGAGTATTTCTGTCAGAAAATGATCAAATCTATGGACTTGCTTATAAAAGAGTCAATCTTTTGGCCCTACGCTACATTGAGGGCCAGAAACGAGGTCTACCACATGGCCGCAACACTACTAGAAGGAGGACGTACTGCACACTCAACTTTAAACTGCCTCTCAACCTCGCTCACAATGAGAATCCAGTGTGCAATATCAAAAAGGGATCGTCAGAGGCAAACTCTTAGAAAAATGCAGCCTCAAAATTTGGGATAAATGCTCTATGTCTCACAAGTTAGTTTGAAGTACTTGGACAGGACCAGTAAGACATACGAGAAAATGACCAGCTCATGGGTGGCATTACACGGTCATTGCTGGAGACTTTCGCCAGACTACCTGTCATTCCTCGAAGTACCCAGCTGATGAACTGAAATGCGTGCCTCAAGGCATCATAACACCTTGGGTGTTCAGACACTCACCCTATCCACAAACATGAGAGTACATCAAGGAGATGAGGATGAACGGTTTACAAAACCTCTACTACGGATTGAAATGGAACTTTCTGTTGATTCAGAAAGACAAATAATCATTCCTCGAGGATGTGGAAATGTTGTAAAGTCTCAATTGGCTACCACCAACATGGTCTACCCAAACATTGTCTCGCCACCAGATCGTAAGTGGCTGCGTGAACGCAATTCTGCACCAAAGAATGAAAGAGTGGCTGAAATCAACATGAGTCTACTCCAGACTGCTTCCAGGCAGGAGAGACCTCATTCAAGTCTGTTGATACAGTAAAACGACCAGGACCAAGCAGTCCAGTACCCCTGCAGAATTCTTACCTTTTGGAGCCCTCTGAATGCCTCCTCACCACCTCACTCTCAAGATTGAACTACCATAATGTTTCCAAGAAATCTTGAACCACCAAGGCTCTGCAATGGCACAAGACTGGTGGTGAAGACCATGATGCCACACATGTACCAAGCTACAACACTGACAGGAAAGCTAAAGGAGAGGACCTGTTTATACCAAGGATACCTTCATCACCACTGACCTGCCATTTGGAGTTCAAGCGACTTGTATCCTGTTAAAGTGAAGCCGTCAGCACTGAGCCCACAAAAGCCAGGGACAACTCAAGATGGCTGGCCTAAACCTGCGTTTCCTGTTTCTCTCATGGACAGTTCTATGTTGGCTCCAGAGTGGAACTGGCAAAATCTGTACAAACTTGTTCTAATGGCAAAACCAAAATGTGGTCTACCCTCATGCACTACAGTAAGACAATGTGGAGCCCTGAGGGTGGCGTCCTTACTTCCTCGTGGCTTAGCGGAAAGAGCTGCCCGGAGGGCGCTGTTTCTGCTAGTAAGTAGTAATGGTGATAATAATTTCGTAATGAAGGTGTTAGCATATAAAACAATACTAAAGGAACAAAAATAACATGGCCGAGGCTGTTGAAGTCAGCTCACAACAACAGCGTATATCTTTCAGCCCCACCCACCCCCATACACCTGGCCCACCACTAATGGGTACGGGACTCATTTACTCATGAAACCCTGAAGGCGCCCCACGCCACATGTTGAATACGGCAAAGTCTTGTAGCGTGGGTTCTGGGATCTCAAACCTGTATAATTGGTCGATATGGAGCCAGTCAAATAGCTCGTTGACTTGCCTTTTGTAGTAGTACCCATTGAAATCGTTTTGTACACTCATGTGATTTTTCTATGGTCAAAGTATTCTGACTTGCTTTCGAAACAGACGAAAAAGCAGTTTGCACTTGGAACACGAAGAGACATAACGCCAAGATCACGAGGAAGCATGATCAATTGTTTATTGCTATAAAAGATAATTTTATCCGTAATGTTATCTCTAGCTACGGAGGTCAGGAATTTCTTCCTTCACAAATCAAAGGCGATTTTAAAATTGATTCTCCTGTAGTGAGAGGAGGAAAAAGGATTTTACATAACCAAAGACCCTGTACAGCGCAGAACATGCACACTGTGCTAATAATAGAATTACCGCAAACTTTCTTATGTTGCTGACATTCTTTTACCTTCCGCGGTCTTCCTCCGCCCCTGTAGTGAAGGGGTCAGACTTTTCTACAACTAAGGCCACGGTAGATGCCCTGACATACGCAAATACTTACCCAAGTTTTCAAAACATTTTTTCCTTTTTCTCCAAGGGCGATATTTTCCTTAAGCTTCCTGAAATTCTTCCTCCCTCCTCATCACTGGAGGAAGAAGAGAAACCAAAATTTTCTTCAAGGATATTTTCCTTGGCTTCCCTGGAAATTCTTCTTCTTCCTCCTCATCACTGGAGGAAGAAGAGAACCAAAAATTTTCTTCAAGGATATTTTCCTTTTGGTTTCGAAATTTTTCTTCCTCCTCATCACTGGAGGAAGAAGAGAACCAAAATTTTCTTCAAGGATATTTTCCTTGGTTTCCTGAAATTTTTCTTCCTCCTCATCACTGGAGGAAGAAGAGGAACTGAAATCTTTTCCAAGGATATTTTCCTTGGCTTCCTGAAATTCTTCTTCCTCCTCATCACTGGAGTGGTGGTTGAAGAGGAACCAAAATTTTCACAAGGGCGATATTTTCCTTGGCTTCCTGAAATTTTTCTTCCTCCTCGTCACTGGAGGAAGACGAGGAGCCAGGACAAAGACGGGAACATTTCATCCGTCCCCATTCTCGTCGTCCGTCTAGCTTTTCTTAACTTCGTGTTGTTGTTTTGCAGTATCTTCTTCTTCTATGACCAGTCTCGTCAAATTGAGACTGACTTTCGATCCTTATCACGCCCACTATAACCTTCTAACCACCGCTCATGTTTTCAACGGTGATGTTTTCACCGATCAAATTGTTGACCATTGTTTTGGGAACGCATAATCGTCATCAAATTTTGTTGCCATGATTTGTTTTAATACCTATTAGAATGGCGTTTATTTACACTTGTTATTATTACTAAACATAGGAAATAGTAAAGAGGTTGGAACTGGGTCGAGGCAAGACTGTGGAAGGGTTTGTTGTGATGGTGTTATAGTTGTGATGGTTATAGTTGCAGTACTGTTAGTTGCAATGGTGTTATATAGTTGTGATGGTTATTGTTGTAGTATTGTTATCTGTAATGGTGTTATACTTGTTGTATGGTTATTCGTAATGTTGTTATTGTTGTAGTATTGTTAGTTGTGATGGTTACAGTTGAAATCTTTTATTTTGTGATGGCATTATAGCTGTGGTGGTTATAGTTGAAATGGTGGCTGGGATGGTGTTATACTGTAGTTGTAGTATTGTTGGTTGTGATGGTGTTATAGGTTGTGATGGTTATAGTGTGATAGTTATAGTTGTAGTATTGTTAGTTGTGATGGTCAAATTTGTAGTATCGTTAGCGATGTAAAGTTGTAGTATTGTTAGAAGGTTGGTGTTGAGTAGCTAGATGGTGTTATAGTTGTGATGGTGTTATAGTTGTGATGGTGTTGTAGTTGTGATGGTGTTGTGAAGCTGTGATGGTGTTGTAGTTGTGATGGTAAGTTGTAGTTGTGATGGTTATAGTTAGATGGTGTGTTATAGTTGTGATGGTTATTGTTGAAGTATTGTTATTTTGATGGTGTTATAGTTGTGATGGTTATTAGTGTGATGATGTTATAGTTGGTGGATGTTTTTTGTTGTAGTATTGTTAGTTGTGATGTATCAAATTTGTAGTATCGTTAGTTGTGATGTAGTTGTAGCATTGTTAGAAGTTGGTGTTATAGGTGTGATGATGTTATAGTTGTGATGGTAAAGTTATAGTTGTGGATGGTGTTGTAGTTGTGGTGGTGTTGTAGTTGTGATGGTGTTGTAGTTGTGATGGTTATAGTTGTGATGGTGTTATAGTTGTGATGTATATTGTTGAAGTATTGTTATTTTGTGATGGTGTTATAGTTGTGATGGTTATTGTGTGTGATGATGTTATAGTTGTGATGTTTTTGTTGTAGTATTGTTAGTTGTGATGGTGTTATAGTTGTATTATTGTTAGTTGTGATAGTGTTAGTTATAATATTGTTAGTTGTGGTGGTGTTATAGTTGTGATGGTTATAGTGAGTGATGGTATAGTTGTGATGTTTAGTTGTACGTTGTTAGTTGTGGTGGTGTTATAGTTGTGATGGTGTTATAGTTATGATGGTGATACAGTTGTAGTATTGATAGTTGTGATGGTGTTATAGTTGTGATGATGTTGTAGCTGTGATGGTGTTATAGTTCTATTGTTAGTTGTGGTGGTGTTTACAGTTGCGATGATGTTATAGTTGTGATGTTTTTAGTTGTAGTATTGTTAGTTGTGATGGTGTTATGGTTGTGATAGTGTTAATGTTGTAATATTGTTAGTTGTGATGGTGCTATAGTTAAGTGATGGTGAACAGTTGTAGCATTGATAGTTGTGATGGTGTTATGGTTGTGATAGTGTTAATGTTGTAATATTGTTAGTTGTGATGGTGTTATAGTTATGATGGTAGAAATAGTTAGCATTGATAGTTGTGATGGTGTTATAGTTGTATTATTGTTAGTTGTGATGATGTTATAGTTGTGATGTTTTAGTTGTATTATTGTTAGTTGTGATGTTATAGTTAACATGGTTGATAGCTGTGGATGGTGTTTGGTTGTGATAGTGTTAATGTTGTAATATTGTTAGTTGTGATGGTGTTATTGCTGTGATGGTGTTATTGTTGTGATGGTGGTATAGTTGAGATGGTGTTGTATATTGTTAGTAGTGATGGTGTTATAGTTGTGATGGTGTTATAGTTGTGATGGTGTTGTAGTTGTGATGGTGTTGTAGTTGTGATGGTGTTGTAGTTGTGATGGTGTTGTAGTGTGATGGTGTTGTAGTGTGATGGTGTTATAGTGTGATGGTGTTATAGTGTGATGGTGTTATAGTGTGATGGTGTTATAATTGTGATGGTGTTATAGTTGAGGGTTATATTTGTGATGGTGTTATAGTTGTAGTATTGTTAGTTCTAATGGTGGTATAGTTGTGATGGTGTTATAGTGTGATGGTGTTATAGTGTGATGGTGTTATAGTGTGATGGTGTTATAGTGTGATGGTGTTATAGTGTGATGGTGTTATAATTGTGATGGTGTTATAGTTGAGGGTTATATTTGTGATGGTGTTATAGTTGTAGCATTGTTAGTTCTAATGGTGGTATAGTTGTGATGGTTATAGTTACAGCTTACTTTTCTTTGATCTCTAACCTTTCTAGGCTGTCCATTCTAACAAGGTAGGTAGGTAGGTAAGTAGGTAGGTAGTCCATTCTAACGAGGTATGCCAAACGTCCTACCTTAGTAAATCTATTCCTTGCCACGACCATCTATATAAATAACTGAAAGAGCGTCTCAATATAAATAAAAAAAAGAGCGTCGGTGGTACATGGCAACTACTTCATGGGAGATCATGAAAAGCAGGCTACTACCAGGTGTGGCAACATTCAAGGTGTCAAGACATGACATTGTCCTATCTATCCAAGAAATGCTGCATGAGCGCAACACGTATGTACAGTCATTTAAAAATGCTCTGGAAAACATGCCTTCTGACGAGTACAAACTCAGGATCAAAGCAGACACGATCCCTAAGGGAGAACATGAAAGAAGATTCAATGCTCCTGTAGTTGATGAAGTAGCCATCCTGATTGTCGGTCAAGAGTTTGAGAAACGAGACATCATACTCAAAATGAGAGACGAGTCGCTCACAAGAATATCAGACACACATCGATCCTATGATGCACTGCAGTATTCTCTCATCTTCTGGAAAGGTGAAGACGGATATCACTTCAACATTCCTCACACAGATCTAGCGACTGGTGCGGCAAAAGTAGGTAAGAAAGTCTCATCCAATGACTTTTATTCTTACAGATTCATGATCAGAGAAGACAGTTTCATCCAGATACTAAGATCAAGGAACCTCTTCCACCAGTTTGTAGTGGACATGTATGCCAAAATTTAAACCGAAAGACTCACCTTCATATGACTCAACCAAAAGAAGCTCAGGGTTGATGACTACATTCATCTGAGAGATGCAGTAGCAAGGGATGGACATGTGGGCAATGTTGGACAGCTGGTGATTCTCCCCTCTTCCTTCACTGGAGGTCCGCGATACATGCATGAAAAGACTCGGGATGCCATGTCCTATGTCAGAAACTATGGACGACCAGATCTCTTCATTAATTTTACATGCAACCCTGTATGGACTGACATAACAGAAGCTCTAATGGAAGGCCAGAAAGGACAAGATCGGCATGACATTACAGCGAGAGTATTTCGTCAGAAAATGATCAAATTCATGGACTTGCTTATAAAAGCATCAATCTTTGGCCCTACACGGTGCTACATTGAGGGCCAGAAACGAGGTCTACCACATGGCCGCAACACTACTAGAAGGAGGACGTACTGCACACTCAACTTTTAAACTGCCTCTCAACCTCGCTCACAATGAGAATCCAGTGTGCAACATCAAAAAGGGATCGTCAGAGGCAAAACTCTTAGAAAAATGCAGCCTCAAAATTTGGGATAAATGCTCTATGTCTCACAAGTTAGCGTTTGAAGCATTGGACAGGACCGTGCAAGACATACGAGAAAATGACCAGCTCATGGGTGGCATTACAATGGTCATTGCTGGAGACTTTCGCCAGACCCTACCTGTCATTCCTCGAAGCACTCCAGCTGATGAACTGAATGCGTGCCTCAAGGCATCATACCTTTGGAGAAGTGTTCAGACACTCACCCTATCCACAAACATGAGAGTACATCAAGGAGATGAGGATGCTGAACGGTTTACAAACCTTCTACTACGGATTGGGAATGGAACTTTCTCTGTTGATTCAGAAAGACAAATAATCATTCCTCGAGGATGTGGAAATGTTGTAAAGTCCTCAACTGAGCACACTAACATGGTCTACCCAAACATTATCCGCCACTACAAGGATCGTAAGTGGCTGCGTGAACGCGCAATTCTGGCACCAAAGAATGAAAGAGTGGCTGAAATCAACATGAGTCTACTCAGACTGCTTCCAGGCAGTGAGACCTCATTCAAGTCTGTTGATACAGTAAACGACCAGGACCAAGCAGTCCAGTACCCTGCAGAATTCCTTAATTCTTTGGAGCCCTCTGGAATGCCTCCTCACCACCTCACTCTCAAGATTGGAACTACCATAATGCTCTTAAGAAATCTTGAACCACCAAGGCTCTGCAATGGCACAAGACTGGTGGTGAAGACCATGATGCCACATGTACTGGAAGCTACAACACTGACAGGAAAAGCTAAAGGAGAGGACCTGTTTATACCAAGGATACCTCTCATCACCACTGACCTGCCATTTGAGTTCAAGCGACTTCAGGTCCCGGTTAAAGTGAGCTTTGCCATGACCATCTACAAAAGCCAGGGACAATCCCTAAAGATGGTTGGCCTAAACCTGGTGTTTCCTTGCTTCTCTCATGGACAGTTCTATGTTGGATGCTCCAGAGTGGGAACTGGCAAAAATCTGTACAAACTTGCTCCTAATGGCAAAACCAAAAATGTGGTCTACCCTCATGCACTACAGTAAGACAATGTGGAGCCTCCCGGAGGGTGGCGTCCTACCGTGGCTTAGCGAAAGAGCCGCCCGGAGGGCGCTGTTTCTGCTAGTAAGTAGTAATGGTGATAATAATTGTAATGAAGGTGTTAAAGATATAAAACAATACTAAAGGAACAAAAATAACATGGCCGAGGCTGTTGTGTCAGCTCACAACAGCGTATATCTTCAGCCCCCACCCACCCCCCACACCTCATTCATTTTAATGGGTAATGGGACTCATTTAATTATGAAACCCTTGAAGGCGCCCCACGCCACATGTTGAATACGGCAGTCTTGTAGCGTGGGTTCTGGGATCTCAAACCTGTATAATTGGCCGATATGGAGCCAGTCAAATAGCTCGTTGACTTGCCTTTTGTAGTAGTACCCATTGAAATCGTTTTGTACACTCATGTGATTTTTTCTATGACAAGACTTGACTTCGTTTTCGAAACAGACGAAAGCAGCTTGCACTTGGAACACGAAGAGACATAACGCCAAGATCACGAGGAAGTATTAGATCAATTGTTTATTGCTATAAAAAGATAATTTTATCCGTAATGTTATCTCTCTAGCTACGGAGGTCAGGAATTTTCTTCCTTCACAAATCAAAGGCGATTTTAAAATTGATTCTCCTGTAGTGAGAGGAGAAAAGGATTTTACATAACTAAAGACCCTGTACAAAGCGCAGAACATGCACACTGTGCTAATAATAGAATTACCGCAAACTTTCTTATGTTGTTGACATTCTTTTACCTTCTCGCGGTCTTCCTCCGCCCCTGTAGTGGAAGGGGTCAGGACTTTTCTACAACTAAGGCCACGGTAGATGCCCTCTGACATACGCGTTAAATACTTACCCAAGTTTTCAAAACATTTTTTCCTTTTTTCTCCAAGGGCGATATTTTCCTTGGCTTCCTGAAATTCTTCTTCCTCCTCCTCATCACTGGAGGAAGAAGAGAAACCAAAATTTTCTTCAAGGATATTTTCCTTGGCTTCCTGAAATTCTTCTTCCTCCTCATCACTGGAGGAAGAAGAGAAACCAAAATTTTCTTCAAGGATATTTTCCTTGGCTTCCTGAAATTCTTCTTCCTCCTCATCACTGGAGGAAGAAGAGAAACCAAAATTTTCTTCAAGGATATTTTCCTTGGCTTCCTGAAATTCTTCTTCCTCCTCATCACTGGAGGAAGAAGAGGAACCAAAATTTTCTCCAAGGATATTTTCCTTGGCTTCCTGAAATTCTTCTTCCTCCTCATCACTGGAGGAAGAAGAGGAACCAAAATTTTCTACAAGGGCGATATTTTCCTTGGCTTCCTGAAATTCTTCTTCCTCCTCGTCACTGGAGGAAGACGAGGAGCTAGACAAAGACGGGAACATTTCATCCTCGTCCTCCTCATTCTCGTCGTCCGTCTAGCTTTTCTTAACTTCGTGTTGTTGTTTTGCAGTATCTTCTTCTCTATGACCAGTCTCGTCAAATTCGAGACTGACTTCGATCCTTATCACGCCCACTATAACCTTCTAACCACCGCTCATGTTTTCAACGGTGATGTTTTCACCGATCAAATTGTTGACCATTGTTTCGAACGCATAATCGTCATCAAATTTTGTTGCCATGATTTGTTTTAATACCTATTAGAATGGCGTTTATTTACACTTGTTATTATTACTAAACATAGGAAATAGTAAAGAGGTTGGAACTGGGTCGTGAGGCAAGACTGTGGAAGGGTTTGTTGTGATGGTGTTATAGTTGTGATGGTTATAGTTGTAGCATTGTTAGTTGCAATGGTGTTATAGTTGTGATGGTTATTGTTGTAGTATTGTTATCTGTAATGGTGTTATACTTGTTGTATGGTTATCTGTAATGTTGTTATTGTTGTAGTATTGTTAGTTGTGATGGTTACAGTTGAAATCTTTTTATTTGTGATGGTATTATAGTTGTGGTGGTTATAGTTGGAATGGTGGTTGGGATGGTGTTATACTGTAGTTGTAGTATTGTTAGTTGTGATGGTGTTATAGTTGTGATGGTTATAGTGTGTGATAGTTATAGTTGTAGTATTGTTAGTTGTGATGGTCAAATTTGTAGTATCGTTAGTTGTGATGTAGTTGTAGTATTGTTAGAAGTTGGTGTTATAGTTGTGATGGTGTTATAGTTGTGATGGTGTTATAGTTGTGATGGTGTTGTAGTTGTGATGGTGTTGTAGTTGTGATGGTGTTGTAGTTGTGATGGTTATAGTTGTGATGGTGTTATAGTTGTGATGGTTATTGTTGAAGTATTGTTATTTTTGATGGTGTTATAGTTGTGATGGTTATTGTGTGTGATGATGTTATAGTTGTGATGTTTTTGTTGTAGTATTGTTAGTTGTGATGGTCAAATTTGTAGTATCGTTAGTTGTGATGTAGTTGTAGTATTGTTAGAAGTTGGTGTTATAGTTGTGATGATGTTATAGTTGTGATGGTGTTATAGTTGTGATGGTGTTGTAGTTGTGGTGGTGTTGTAGTTGTGATGGTGTTGTAGTTGTGATGGTTATAGTTGTGATGGTGTTATAGTTGTGATGGTTATTGTTGAAGTATTGTTATTTGTGATGGTGTTATAGTTGTGATGGTTATTGTGTGTGATGATGTTATAGTTGTGATGTTTTTGTTGTAGTATTGTTAGTTGTGATGGTGTTATAGTTGTATTATTGTTAGTTGTGATAGTGTTAGTTATAATATTGTTAGTTGTGGTGGTGTTATAGTTGTGATGGTGTTATAGTTGTGATGGTTATAGTGAGTGATGGTATAGTTGTGATGTTTTTAGTTGTAATGTTGTTAGTTGTGGTGGTGTTATAGTTGTGATGGTGTTATAGTTATGATGGTGATACAGTTGTAGTATTGATAGTTGTGATGGTGTTATAGTTGTGATGATGTTGTAGTTGTGATGGTGTTATAGTTCTAATATTGTTAGTTGTGGTGGTGTTATAGTTGTGATGATGTTATAGTTGTGATGTTTTTAGTTGTAGTATTGTTAGTTGTGATGGTGTTATGGTTGTGATAGTGTTAATGTTGTAATATTGTTAGTTGTGATGGTGTTATAGTTATGATGGTGAAATAGTTGTAGTATTGATAGTTGTGATGGTGTTATGGTTGTGATAGTGTTAATGTTGTAATATTGTTAGTTGTGATGGTGTTATAGCTATGATGGTGAAATAGTTGTAGTATTGATAGTTGTGATGGTGTTATGGTTGTATTATTGTTAGTTGTGATGATGTTATAGTTGTGATGTTTTTAGTTGTATTATTGTTAGTTGTGATGTTATAGTTGTATTATTGATAGTTGTGATGGTGTTATGGTTGTGATAGTGTTAATGTTGTAATATTGTTAGTTGTGATGGTGATATAGTTGTGATGATGTTATAGTTGTGATGGTGTTGTAGTTGTGATGGTGTTATAGTTGTAATATTGTTAGTAGTGATGGTGTTATAGTTGTGATGGTGTTGTAGTTGTGATGGTGTTGTAGTTGTGATGGTGTTGTAGTTGTGATGGTGTTGTAGTGTGATGGTGTTGTAGTGTGATGGTGTTGTAGTGTGATGGTGTTATAGTGTGATGGTGTTATAGTGTGATGGTGTTATAATTGTGATGGTGTTATAGTTGAGGGTTATATTTGTGATGGTGTTATAGTTGTAGTATTGTTAGTTCTAATGGTGGTATAGTTGTGATGGTGTTATAGTGTGATGGTGTTATAGTGTGATGGTGTTGTAGTGTGATGGTGTTATAATGTGATGGTGTTATAGTGTGATGGTGTTATAATTGTGATGGTGTTATAGTTGAGGGTTATATTTGTGATGGTGTTATAGTTGTAGTATTGTTAGTTCTAATGGTGGTATAGTTGTGATGGTTATAGTTACAGCTTACTATTCTTTGATCTCTAACCTTTCTAGGCTGTCCATTCTAACAAGGTAGGTAATGTAGGTAGGTAGGTAATGTAGGTAGGTAGGTAATGTAGGTAGGTAGGTAAGGTAGGTAGGTAAGGCAGGCAGGCAGGCAGGCAGGCAGGCAGGCAGGCAGGCAGGCAGGCAGGCAGGCAGGTAGGTAGGTAAGTAGGTAGTCCATTCTAACGAGGTATGCCAAACGTCCTATCTTAGTAAGTCTATTCCTTGCCACGACCATCTATATAAATAACTGAAAGAGCGTCTCAATATAAATAAAAAAAAGAGCGTCGGTGGTACATGGCAACTACTTCATGGGAGATCATGAAAAGCAGGCTACTACCAGGTGTGGCAACATTCAAGGTGTCAAGACATGACATTGTCCTATCTATCCAAGAAATGCTGCATGAGCGCAACACGTATGTACAGTCATTTAAAAATGCCCTGGAAAACATGCCTTCTGACGAGTACAAACTCAGGATCAAAGCAGACACGATCCCTAAGGGAGAACATGAAAGAAGATTCAATGCTCCTGTAGTTGATGAAGTAGCCATCCTGATTGTCGGTCAAGAGTTTGAGAAACGAGACATCATACTCAAAATGAGAGACGAGTCGCTCACAAGAATATCAGACACACATCGATCCTATGATGCACTGCAGTATTCTCTCATCTTCTGGAAAGGTGAAGACGGATATCACTTCAACATTCCTCACACAGATCTAGCGACTGGTGCGGCAAAAGTAGGCAAGAAAGTCTCATCCAATGACTTTTATTCTTACAGATTCATGATCAGAGAAGACAGTTTCATCCAGATACTAAGATCAAGGAACCTCTTCCACCAGTTTGTAGTGGACATGTATGCCAAAATTTAAACCGAAAGACTCACCTTCATATGACTCAACCAAAAGAAGCTCAGGGTTGATGACTACATTCATCTGAGAGATGCAGTAGCAAGGGATGGACATGTGGGCAATGTTGGACAGCTGGTGATTCTCCCCTCTTCCTTCACTGGAGGTCCGCGATACATGCATGAAAAGACTCGGGATGCCATGTCCTATGTCAGAAACTATGGACGACCAGATCTCTTCATTAATTTTACATGCAACCCTGTATGGACTGACATAACAGAAGCTCTAATGGAAGGCCAGAAAGGACAAGATCGGCATGACATTACAGCGAGAGTATTTCGTCAGAAAATGATCAAATTCATGGACTTGCTTATAAAAGCATCAATCTTTGGCCCTACACGGTGCTACATTGAGGGCCAGAAACGAGGTCTACCACATGGCCGCAACACTACTAGAAGGAGGACGTACTGCACACTCAACTTTTAAACTGCCTCTCAACCTCGCTCACAATGAGAATCCAGTGTGCAACATCAAAAAGGGATCGTCAGAGGCAAAACTCTTAGAAAAATGCAGCCTCATAATCTGGGATGAATGCTCTATGTCTCACAAGTTAGCGTTTGAAGCATTGGACAGGACCGTGCAAGACATACGAGAAAATGACCAGCTCATGGGTGGCATTACAATGGTCATTGCTGGAGACTTTCGCCAGACCCTACCTGTCATTCCTCGAAGCACTCCAGCTGATGAACTGAATGCGTGCCTCAAGGCATCATACCTTTGGAGAAGTGTTCAGACACTCACCCTATCCACAAACATGAGAGTACATCAAGGAGATGAGGATGCTGAACGGTTTACAAACCTTCTACTACGGATTGGGAATGGAACTTTCTCTGTTGATTCAGAAAGACAAATAATCATTCCTCGAGGATGTGGAAATGTTGTAAAGTCCTCAACTGAGCACACTAACATGGTCTACCCAAACATTATCCGCCACTACAAGGATCGTAAGTGGCTGCGTGAACGCGCAATTCTGGCACCAAAGAATGAAAGAGTGGCTGAAATCAACATGAGTCTACTCAGACTGCTTCCAGGCAGTGAGACCTCATTCAAGTCTGTTGATACAGTAAACGACCAGGACCAAGCAGTCCAGTACCCTGCAGAATTCCTTAATTCTTTGGAGCCCTCTGGAATGCCTCCTCACCACCTCACTCTCAAGATTGGAACTACCATAATGCTCTTAAGAAATCTTGAACCACCAAGGCTCTGCAATGGCACAAGACTGGTGGTGAAGACCATGATGCCACATGTACTGGAAGCTACAACACTGACAGGAAAAGCTAAAGGAGAGGACCTGTTTATACCAAGGATACCTCTCATCACCACTGACCTGCCATTTGAGTTCAAGCGACTTCAGGTCCCGGTTAAAGTGAGCTTTGCCATGACCATCTACAAAAGCCAGGGACAATCCCTAAAGATGGTTGGCCTAAACCTGGTGTTTCCTTGCTTCTCTCATGGACAGTTCTATGTTGGATGCTCCAGAGTGGGAACTGGCAAAAATCTGTACAAACTTGCTCCTAATGGCAAAACCAAAAATGTGGTCTACCCTCATGCACTACAGTAAGAC